TTTGGCCGCCATTCCTTCCAGTTCTCTGCTGCCAATGACTGGAACGAACTGCAAAAATCTCTGAAGCTGGAGACTCTTATCTCCCTCACTAACTTTAAGCATCAGTTGTCAGAGCAGCTTACCGATCAATGCACCTGTACACAGCCCATCTGTAATTAGCCCATCCAACTACCTCATCCCCATATAGTTATTTATTTTGCTAATTTGCACCCCAGTATCTCTATTTGCACATCATCTTTTGTACATCTATCATTCCAGTGTTAATACGAAATTGTAACTATTTTGCACTATGGCCTATTTATTGCCTTACCTCAATAATTTACTACATTTGCACACACTGTATATATATATTTTCTGTTGTATTTTTGACATTATGTTTTGTTTACCCCATATGTAACTCTGTGTTGTTGTTTTTATCGCACTGCTTTGCTTTATCTTGGCCAGGTCGCAGTTGTAAATGAGAACTTGTTCTCAACTGGCTTACCTGGTTAAATAAAGGTTAAAATAAATAATAATAATAATAATAATAATACGGATAGCCAGGGGCACACTCCAACATTCAGACATAATTTACGAACGAAGCTGCGTGTATCAGAGGCAACGAGTGTCAGGTGTTGCTGGTTGTCTCTGATTGGGAGCCATATTTAAACAGTCTGTTTTTCATTCGTGTTTGTGGGATTTTGTTTCCAGTCGGTTTGTGTTAGACCGTGAACTGTCACGATATCGTTTTGTTGTTTTGGTCATTTGACGCTAAATAAAGAGTATGTTTGCCTGCAACGCTGCGCCTTGGTCCTCATCTCTGTTAGACGATCGTGACAGAAAATCCCACCAGAACTGGACCAAGCAGCGAGTCGAGGAGCCATCGCCAGGGAAATCCCTAGCAGATCTCCGTGGCAGCCTCGACTGGGTCAAGCCGAGTGAAGAGCAGAGAGGGTGGACTTGGGAACAGTGGAGGAAGAGTCTCGACTGGGTCAAGCCTAATGAAGAGCAGAATGGCTGGAGTTGTAGGCAGAAGAGCGAGAGTTGGGCGAGAACTATAGAGGCCTGGCCCACGGGGAGGAGAGACCCCCAGAATTTTTATAGGGGGGGGCTCACGCCGGGGACGACGGGGCAGCAGGAGGCCGCGATGGAGCGGTCCAGCGGGTGTGCAAGGGAGGCCGCCAGGTTAAGGGGGCCACTGGTCACAGAGGAGAGGGAAAGTGTGGAGGCACGGCGAGAGGTACTGGTGTGTGTTACCAGTCCAGTCCGGCCCGTTTCTGATCCCTGCATAGGGCCAGTGATGTGTGTCCCCAGTACGGTCCGGCCTGTTCCTGTTCCTCGCATCGAGCCTGTGGTGCGCATCGCCAGCCCGGTCCGGCCTGTTCCTGCTCCCCGCACCAAGTCAGTGGTGCGCTTCGTCAGCCCGGCTCGGCCCGTTCCTGCTCCCCGCACCAAGTCAGTGGTGCGCTTCGTCAGCCCGGCTCGGCCTGTTCCTGCTCCCCACACCACGTCAGTGGTGCGCTTCGTCAGCCCGGCTCGGCCCGTTCCTGCTCCCCGCACCACGTCAGTTGTGCGCTTCGTCAGCCCGGCTCGGCCCGTTCCTGCTCCCCGCACCAAGTCAGTGGTGCGTTTCGTCAGCCCGGTTCGGCCCGCTCCTGCTCCCCGCACCAAGTCAGGGGTGCGTTTCGTCAGCCCGGCTCGGGCCGTTCCTGCTCCCCACACCAAGCCAGTGGTGTGCGTCGTCAGTCCGGCACAGCCCGTGCCTGTTCCACTGGTGCCTGGTTCAGCACGGGTCAGCTGCTTCACGCCGGAGCTAGAGCAATCCGCTCCACCAGTGTGCAGTCCAGCTCCGGCCAGCGGGGCCAGACCGGACCAGGGGTACTTTGGGGGGTTGGAGAGGGAGCGGGGATCAGGCCCGGAGCCGGATCCGCCGCCTAGGCGGAATGCCCACCCGGTCCCTCCCCTGTGGTATTTGGTTGACGCGGTCGGAGTCCGCGCCTTTAGGGGGGGGGTACTGTCACGCCCTGGCTCTGGGGACACTGTTATGTTGAGCCAGGGTGTGTAGATCAATGTGTTTTGTTTCTATGGGTGCTATTTCTATGTTGGCCAGAGTGGCTCCCAATCAGAGGCAACGAGCCCAGATCAGAAGCAGTAGGGATGACTAGAGATGTTTTGTGCGTTTATTTGCACCGTTTTCCTGTCCTGCTAAGCATTCAAAATGTAACGAGTACTTTTGGGTGTCAGGGAAAATGTATGGAGAAAAAAGTACATTATTTTATTTAGTAAACGTAAATGTTGTCAAATATATAAATAGTAAAGTACAGATACCCCCAAAAACTACTTAAGTCGTACTTTAAAGTACATGTGCATGTGTGTGAGAGAGAGAGGTGAACACCAGGACATCCATCTGAATGATGGGCAGCTCTGACAACACAGCTGCCTCTTCACTAGGGTGACACTAACATGACCTCTGACCTTTTCATAACAGCTCACCTGGAGAGAGAAGGAGCCTTAGATGAGTTTGTGTTTGTTCACACATGGCACCCTGTTCCCTTGAGAGTGCACTACTTTTGACCAAACCCATAGGGCTCTGGTTACAAGTAGTGCTCTATAGAGGAAATAGGGTGCTATTTGGGATGTAGCTTGTGTTTGTTCACACAACAGGAAGTGAACAACCAGACCAGATACTGTACCTGGATCATGATCAGTAAGCCAGAGAGGTACCAAATGAACTACAATAAGAACGCTAGCTAATTTCAGTTTCAAAATGTTTTTTCTATTTCATTTCCATTTCCAACATGAGCCTGACGTTTCAGAAAAATATGTTACATACACTACATCAGAGTTTCCCAAACTCGGTTACTGGGGCCCCCCCCTGGTTGCACGTTTTGGTTTTCACCCTAGCACTACACAGCTGATTCAACCCTGCACTACATGCTAATCATAATCACTTTATAAATTAACTTTGCCAATGACCAAGCTTCAAAGAGCATAGGGCCAGTCTGAAATCTGATTAGCACGGTCAAGAACACCTGAGGAGGTGGGGAGTTGCACAGGTAACCAGACATGAAAGAATGCCACCTCTCACCACCAAGAAGGTCTTTATAGTTACGATCCTGGACCTAGACCGACACTGATGATGTAAGATCTGATTCATGCCACACACACACCACAGTCTTACCCTGAACCAGAGAAACTGTTTATTGAAAGAAGCAATTCATCTGTAAAATATGTGTACATGTTTCAAATAAAACTTCTTTTTTTAATACCTATTTCTATGTCTTATAAATGTACTTAGCTTTACAGAGTAATGTCAGATGTAGCAGATAACGTTTAAGTAATGTAAGAGCTGTCTTCATAGAGTATCACAAAGATTTTGAAATTCTAAAAAGTGATATGGCAGGAGGAACATTGTTATTTTATTTATTAGAATGGAAATGGTTGAACTCCCAAGCCTAGCTACTTGTCCAAGACTTACATATATGTCTGTATGCTTCAGTTTAGAATATTTTGCACAATTATTTGATATGCTTTTTGAAACAATAGCTCAATTAAAAGAGACTTTGAAATGAGAAAACAAAATCTTTGCAATGTTCCTACAGCAGCTGGCAGATTTTTGTCTGCTCTTCAAGTGACTCTTTAAAGATCAGATTAAGATGGTGACACATACTTACTGGCAAATACATGTGACTTGGCAAGAGCATGGACAGTTCTCACAGACAGTTGGAATATTTACAGCCACAGTTTCAACACATGAATGACCAGATATATCAGATTGGGTATTAAATAAAATGTAACAAGTACCCAGTACTGTAGATGCCCGAATATTAATTATGCATATGTAGATTGCAAAAAACTGGAAAATAATAAATAAATAAATAAATAGATTATTTAAGATTGATGATAAATGAGCTAAGGAAAAAATATGACATACTGTACTGTACTGTATATAAGAACAAAAAAATACAGATCCACTGAGATAAGATCTTCGGCCAGGTAGACTGAGTTCAGGGTGAATAACTTGAGCTGAACTTTACTAACTAGCTAATGACGTAACCCAGTGGGCAAAACTGGTTGAAATGACGTCTTTTTAACCAGTTTTACCCGCTGGGTTACGTCATTTGCTCGCTGGGTTACGTCATGAACCAGTTTTGCCCGCTGGGTAGACATTTTTACATTACATTTTAGTCATTTAGCAGACGCTCTTATCCAGAGCGACTTACATTAGCAATTAGGGTTAAGTGCCTTGCTTAAGGGCACATCGACAGATTTTTCACCTAGTCAGCTCGGAGATTAGAACCAGCGACCTTTCAGTTACTGGCACAATGCTCTTACCCACTAAGCTACCTGCCGCTAGACCTATCCACTGTGCACCCACCGGTACTAGCCTGCCTGCCGTCTGCATTGTGCTAGCTAGCTGAATTGATGGCAGCAGGTCAGAATCAGTGCCCTGGTGATGTCTTTGTTGAGTTCCTTGTAAAGCTGTGAACAACAACAGCCCTATTCACAGCTCAGCTAACTGAACTGAAGTAATTTCCTGTCTGAAAAGAGGTGACATGGAGTGTTGAGCATGACATCTCTCTAGCGTCTGGTGATTTAGGCAGAGTTGAACAAAACAATACAATAGAAATAGAAAGACAATCGAAAACAACGGTTGAAGGAAAGAAATCAACAGATGAGTGTCTCTATCATCATCCTCACCATCACATTCATCACCTTCATCATCACCATCATCACATCATCATCACCTTCATCACCATAATCATCATCATCATCATCATCACATCATCATTATCACCATCATCATCCTCCTCCATCACCATCATCCTTCTCCATCACCATCATCATCACCATTACCATCATCCTCCTCCACCACCATCATCATTACCATCACCATCATCCTCCTCCATCACCATCATCATCCCCGTTCCATCACCATCACCATCATCACCACCATCACCATCATCCTCCTCCATCACCATCATCCTCCTCCATCACCATCACCACCACCATCACCATCATCCTCCTCCATCACCATCCTCCTCCTCATCATCATGATCTTTATCCTCATCATCATCAGTTACATCACTAAACACTGTCATTAACATTAACAACAACAACACAACAAATTTAAACAAAAAAGCAGCGTATGAGATTAAGATTAAGAAAATGTAAATTAAGGAAAGACATGCCTTTAAAAAAAATTATGCCCAACTTCTATCACCTAGGTGAAATAATCAACTGTACACAAAGTGTGTGAACTGGTCAAATAAAGCATTCAAAGAAACCTTCCAAAGAAACTCTCTCTTCAAGATACATACGGTCTATTCCATCCATCAATCCACCAGTGTCTCATTTGAAAGTTGTGGAGCCACCCACCGACACATCTGTAGGTGCAGTTTAGGTGTGGTGTAGGTAGGCACAAACAGAGAGGTCAGCCCCTATAGAGAGGTCATCCTGGTGAAGTGTTGTGCCCCTGCCCCCTGACCCTGTGCAACTGTCTATTGTTGCGTCCCAAATGGCACCCTATTTCCTATATAGTGCACTACTTTTGACCAGAGCACAAGGCCCTGGTAAAACATCATACACTATATAAGTCCTCCAGTCCTCCTCAGGATAGATGGGTGGGTGGGTGGGGCTTCGGCCAACCCAGGCAGCTCACCCAGTGGTCAGCTCTGAGTTAGGGGGCGGGTTAGGGGGCGGTTCCAGAGTCTCAGCGATCTCCCCCAGTTCATCCAGCAGCTCTGTGAATGCCGGTCTCCTGAAGGACTCCATCTGAACACACAGAGGAAGCACAAGGATCAGTACTGGGCCTTGTCTGGGGTTTAAAACTAACTGTTCACAAAGCGTCTCAGAGTAGGAGTGCGTATATAGGATCAGTTTTGTTATTAATATTATAATAAATACGATTTGGACACGGAGGACCTGATCCTAGATCAGCATTTCCACTTTAAGACGCTTTGGGCCTGATTCCGGCTTAGGAAATTACGCCTTTCCTACGCACGCCTTTCCTATATGCTTCACAGTAGTTGGTCTGGTCAGTCGTCGTGAACCGTGCTCCAGGCTCCAGGTTTAACCTTCTACGTGTGGTCTGAGTTCCATAATGATTCAAATAGGCTACATGTCCCAAATTACTGCACAAAGTTATCCTAATATGATCCACTAATGCTAGTGACCCTCAGGAACAACTTGCATGGACGTGACAGAGGAAAGAAAGGGAAACGGAATGGAATGGAATGATGCAAAATGTAGGCTACAAATTGAACACTAAAGTGACAGTTATAAATGTATGTGGGTATTACTGACGGTGGCTCCCAATAGAGGCTAATATTTAACATGATACAAATTGTAAAATTAAACAGAGAAAAGCCCGGGCATAGGGTATAATTAAAACATTCAACTCGGCAGGTTCAGCCCTACATAATTGTATGAACTGTACTGTAAAGTATACTTTACTACATCTACTCACCAGACTGTAAAGTATACTGTATGAACTACGCTGTAAAGTATACTGTATGAACTATGCTGTAAAATATACTGTATGAACTATGCTGTAAAGTATACTGTATGAACTATGCTGTAAAGTATACTGTATGAACTGTACTGTAAAGTATACTGTACTGTATCTACTCACCAGACAGCAGCTGGCTGCCAGCTCCAACACGCGCTGAGGACACCCGCTCACCAGATCCCTAAACGCACTCACATCCAGGCCATAGTCCTGTCAAACACACACACACACACACACACACACACACACACACACACACACACACACACACACACACACACACACACACACACACATGCCTAGCAGTCATTACACATGGTTAATAGGGCAGAGCTTTCACACATGGTACATGCCAGAGATTTCACACATGGTGCATGACAGAGCTTTCACACATTGTAGAAAACCTGGATCTATGTAGATATACTGTATGTCTCATGTACTTCTATACGTGTATCTATATATGTGTGTTTGTGCTAGTGTGTGTCAAAATGAACAAAGCCTTTTCCACTTATGGTCGTATATAATGTAAATACAGAGTAGAGCTTTACCTGGGTTCTTGGTAGAATCTCTGGGTCTGCAGGGATCCTTGCCAGTATTTCACAGAGCATAATTCCAAAGGAAAATACATCCACCTGGTGAGAACACAGAACCAAGTCTGTCATACAGAGTTCCAACCAACGATGAACTGTGTTCCAACTACTAGGATACTAAGATATGACAAAGCTCTCTAACTTTCTACCCGGAGTATTTTTGACCACATCTTCTCAAATGGACCAACTCAGTGGCCTTGTGGGCCTCCTGCCCTATGGTCAGTTTTGACTCAGACAAGGCTATTTACTCGATTGAAGGGTCTTGGTGACGTATCCTTACCTTGCGATCGTAGGGTTCCCCACGCAGCATCTCTGGGGCCATCCAGAAGGCAGATCCCACCAGGGAGAGCTTCCTCTCCGGGTCTTTAACCGGCAGCTCCACCACTTCTCTGGCCAGGCCAAAGTCTGTGACCAGGGCCTCCCTGCCCCGCGCCGTCACACGGATCAGACAGTTCTGCAGAGTCAGACATACACAAATCCACATGTCAGTATATACATATATATTATTATATACAGTGAGGGAAAAAAGTATTTGATCCCCTGCTGATTTTGTACGTTTGCCCACTGACAAAGACATGATCAGTCTATCATTTTAATGGTAGGTTTATTTGAACAGTGAGAGAGAATAACAACAACAAAAATCGAGAAAAACGCATGTCAAAAATGTTATAAATTGATTTGCATTTTAATGAGGGAAATAAGTATTTGACCCCTCTGCGAAACAATACTTAGTACTTGGTGGCAAAACCCTTGTTGGCAATCACAGAGGTCAGATGTTTCTTGTAGTGTAGGTCTACAATCTTGTCCCTGACATCCTTGGAGAGCTCTTTGGTCTTGGCCATGGTGTAGAGTTTGGAATCTGATTGATTGATTGCATCTGTGAACAGGTGTCTTTTATACAGGTAACAAACTGAGATTAGGAGCACTCCCTTTAAGAGTGTCCCATAGAAAATCTGTGGAGGGAGCTGAAGGTTCGAGTTGCCAAACGTCAGGCTCGAAACCTTAATGACTTGGAGAAGATCTGCAAAGAGGAGTGGGACAAAATCCCTCCTGAGATGTGTGCAAACCTGGTGGCCAACTACAAGAAACGTCTGACCTCTGTGATTGCCAACAAGGGTTTTGCCACCAAGTACTAAGTAATGATTTGCAGAGGGGTCAAATACTTATTTCCCTCATTAAAATGCAAATCAATTTATAATATTTTTGACATGCGTTTTTCTGGATTTTGTTGTTGTTATTCTGTCTCTCACTGTTCCAATAAACCTCCATTAAAATTATAGACTGATCATGTCTTTGTCAGTGGGCAAACGTACAAAATCAGCAGGGGATCAAATACTTTTTTACCTCACTGTATATATATATGTGTGTGTGTGTGTGTGTATATATGTGTGTGTGTATATATATATGTATGCCAGGCGGTTCTAGTGTTAAGCAGACACTTTAATCTAAAGCAATTTTTCATTAGTGTCTGCATACCTTTGCATATGGGTGGCCCAGTGGGAATTGAACACCCAACCGTGGCACTGACACATTGGACCACAGTATACAAATCAATATACCAAAAACATGTATAAATACACTATATCTAAAATGATTTTCCACAGTACACCGCAGTATGCCAAGCCATTTCAACATGACATCCAGCCAAATGAACAGCATGTTATACAATAAGGATAGATTCAGTCTACAGTAGTACTGCCACTCTAAGCATTTCTGTTATGACACCTGCTTACCACCAGAGAGCAGTCTAACACTATTTTAGTACATCACACCAATAGTCGGTCTGAATATACAGACAACTCAACTGAACATTCTCTGCCTTCGAATCTCACACTTTATACCTGCCTGTGGGTCTACATAATGCTTCTTTAGCTACCTGAGCAAATCAAATCAGGCCTATAGGGAAAGCTGAGTAAACGTGTTGATAGACATCTCGTGGCAGATCTCTTGATTCTCTCCATAGTGTAAGCAGATATAACAGTGTGTGTGTCCCAAATGGCACCCTATCCCCTATAGTCCACTACTTTTGAACAGGGCCCATATAGGGCTCAGGTCAAAAGTAGTGCACTTTGTAGGGAATAGGGTGCCATTTGGGACGAAGACAGTATTACATTTACATCATTTAGCAGACGCTCTTATCCAGAGCGACTTACAAATTATGAAGGTGAGACCCTACATACAGACAGCCAGACCAGACACTCTTAAATAGCCTGACTCAATGGGGTCTGCACTAATCACCTCCCAACCATGCTAAATTTTTCAGTCCTTACCTGGGCTCTGCTGATGGGCTACAGGGTAGATAATCCACCTGCTTTGGCATCTATGCATACAGAGAACAAAGCCCAACTGTAGCCATGTGAGTTGGGGTGTTGATTACCATAGTAGGTGGTTTACTGTAGGTGTGGAGAGAGCACCAGTGGGCTGGATGGGCTCAGTAAGAGTGGGTGAGCTACTCTAGAGGACACAAGGTAGTGGAGCGGTTACATAAGTCAAGCAAGCAGAGAGACAGGCAGGCAGAGATAGAGAGAGCGAGAGAGTCAGGAACAGAGGCAAGCAGGCAAGCAGGCAACAAGCAGACAGACAGGCAGACAGGCAAAGAGACAGGCAGGGCAGGCAGACAGACAGAAATGTAGGCAGGCAGAGAGGCAGGCAAGCAGGGCAGAGGCAGACAGGCTGAAAGATGGTCAGACAGGTTGGAGTGTAGAGAGGCAGACAGGCAGGCAGCGACAGACAGGCAGATAGACAGGCAGAGAGAGTCAGGAAGAGAAGCAAGCCGGCAAAAAGAAGGCATGTAGACAGGCAGAAAAATTGACAGATAGGCAGACAGGGGTGTGGAGCAGAGCAGGAACTGCTGATGAGGGTAAGCAGGAGGAGGGGAAGGAGGGAGGGAAGGCCCTGGCTGGCTGGCTGGCTGACTGGCCAACTGGCTGGCTGACATCTCCTCAGCATCTAGAGGTCATTACAAAGGGAGCCCACACCACAGGCCCTCTCTCTCCAGTGTTTTCATTCAGCAGCCTGTGATTATTGGGCAATCTGGGTATCGCTCCAAGCACCAAACCTGACCGCTAAATTTAGCATGGGCCCTCACCTCAGAGCCAAAGAAAACAACAGTTCCAGGAAAAACAGATCTAGAATGGAGAGTTTCAGGGGGAATTAAAAAAGGGTTGTGCCACTGGAAATCTAAGGAATTAGTCTAAACTGCAACCAAGGCTGCGTCCCAAATGACGCCATATTCCCTATACAGTACCAGTCAAAAGTTTTAGAACACCTACTCATTCAAGGGTTTTTCTTTATTTGTACTATTTTCTACATTGTAGGATAATAGTGAAGACATCAAAACTATGAAATAACACATATGGAATCATGTAGTAACCAAATAAGTGTTGAACAAATCAAAATATATTTTATATTTGAGATTCTTCAAATAGCCACCCTTTGCCTTGATTCCATATGTGTTATTTCATAGTACACTTCAACTGTGAGAGACGGAATCTAAAACAAAAATCCAGAAAATCACATTGTATTATTTTTAAGTAATTCATTTGCATTTTATTGCATGATATATGTATTTGATACATCAGAAAAGCAGAACTTAATATTTGGTACCGAAACCTTTGTTTACAATTACATCCACCATACCTTTCCTAATTCTGGTCATTTTTTAACTTTAATGATTGCTTCTACAGGAGATATGTCAGAAGAGCTTGTGATGAGTGTGATAGAAGGAGTCAGGCGCAGGAGGGTATTCACCGAATGCAAGGTACGAGTAGCTCCACCGAGCTACACTACTCTCACAAATAAACAATCACCCACAAGGACAAGGGGGGCAGAGGGAACACTTATACATGGACTAATGCGGGGATACAAAGCATGTGTGTGTGATTGACAAGACCAGACAAATGGAATGATGAATAATGGAGCGGCAGTGGCTAGTAAGCCGGTGACGACGAACGCCGAAGCCTACCCGAACAAGGAGGGGAGGCAGCCTCGGCGGAAGTCGTGACAGAGCTGTGCTATGCAGCCTAACCTTGTGACTCTAACTGAAACAGTAATTGTTTTAACCTAAATTGTTTTAACCTACACTGCACATAATTAATTACCTTGCACGTCTGGCTTGGATCCACTGTAATTTATAGAGACTGAAGTCCCTTCTCTCGAGGTTGAGACAGATTCCACATGAGAAAAGACCTTGTCTATATCCTTCTGCCATCAATCCTAGCAGTGCTCTTTTGAAACACTCTCTGTAATTGTGAAGACAGACGTGTGCATCCTTTTGCCAACTCTAATGATACCGGTGGGGGGTCTAGGGGGAAAAACAACAGTACTGCTTTGCAGAAACAACAATTACTTTCCAGTAAAATGCCACCATTGAGACCAGAGCCAAATGGATTGTCCCTCTGGGTGACGTGCTAAATGTCAGTATGGAACACGTCAGTGTCACCACCAATTGCCAATTAAGTAGTACGAGTGGGCAGGGCGCTGTAAAATGAGACGTGGTTGAGGGAAAGAAAAGAGCTTTCCAGAAAAGCAATTGAACCAGAGCAAAGGAGTCCTGAGGGCAATGTCAGAAGGGAACAGTAGTGTCAACCAGTATCCTAGTTAGAGATGAGAGGGTCGTGAAAAGAGGCACGTGTGAGAGAGAGAGAAGAGACTAGAGAGAGAGAAAGGAGTGAGGGAGAAAGAGAAGGAAGAGGAGAGTGAGAAGAGAGAGAGAGAGAGACAGGAGAAGATGAAGGAGAGGAGATATGCAGAGAGGATAAGGAGGGAGAGAAGAGAGAGATGAGAGAGAGGAGAGAGAGAGAGAGAGAGAGAGAGAGAGAGAGAGAGAGGAGGGGGAGGGAGAGAGAGAGAGAGAGAGGGCAGTATTGTGGCTGGCCTCTACTATTGATCCACTGCTCACTGACCCTACTTTCCCAGACAAAGAGGGACTGGCTGTTGGTGTGTGTGTACACAAGTCTGTCTGTGTGTGTGTGTGCGTACAATAACAACGCTCAGAGTGGGTACATTAGCATGACAATGGACTGTGCTTGTTGCTAGGCCCCTCTGCATAACATAACCGACCTGCACTTCTGTGGAACCTGGCAACTGGGAGAGAGACAACCGATTTGTCTAGGCTGATGTCTTCACATGGTAGAGAGTTATCCTCAACCTCAGTCTGACTACTAAATGAGCTTCAATTCAACCGTACCCTGCTTTGTCCACAACAGTTAAAACCAATTTATTTAACCTTTATTTATCCAGGAAGTCCCATTGAGGTCAGAAGACCTCTTTTACAAGGGAGACCTGCCAATGTGATCACTATATGATGTCACAGCACGATGTTGCTAAAGGTTGATGTAAGAGTAGGGGTTTTCCTAATATCAAAGAGAGCAGTCAGTGGCTGTAGCCAGGCCAAAAGTAGTGTACTATATAGGGAATAGGTTGCCATTTCAGACACAGCCAGTGTGTGAGGTAACATCCCATACAGTTTCCCCTTTCTTTCACTGCAAATGCTGAGTGTGGACCTTCCTTATTTTCCTGTTCACTTTCTGGGTTACTTTATGGTCTATGCACCACAAATACAACAATAATCTACAGTCAATCTACTGTACCTTGGAGTTGAGGTCCCTGTGGTAGATGTGGGTGGGGTTTTCCCCTGGTCAACTGTACCTTGGAGTTGAGGTCCCTGTGGTAGATGTTCTTGTAGTGCAGGTAGATCATTCCCCTGGTGATGTCACAGGCCAGGTCCACCTTCTCCCTCCAGCACAGAGACACATCCTTCCTGGCCAACAGCTCCTCCAGACATCCTCCACTAACATACTGAAACAGATAGACACCCCATCAGCCTCACATACTGAAACAGATAGACACCCCATCAGCCCCCACTATCATACAAAAACAGATAGACACCTCATCAGCCCCCACTAACATACTGAAACAGATAGACACCCCATCAGCCTCACATACTGAAACAGATAGACACCTCATCAGCCCCCACTATCATACAAAAACAGATAGACACCCCATCAGCCTCACATACTGAAACAGATAGACACCCCATCAGTCCCCACTAACATACTGAAACAGATAGACACCTCATCAGCCTCCACTAACATACTGAAACAGATAGACACCTCATCAGCCCCCACTAACATACTGAAACAGATAGACACCTCATCAGCCTCCACTAACATACTGAAACAGATAGACACCTCATCAGCCTCCACTAACATACTGAAACCGATAGACACCTCATCAGCCCCCACTAACATACTGAAACAGATAGACACCCCATCAGCCCCCACTAACATACTGAAACAGATAGACACCTCATCAGCCCCCACTAACATACTGAAACAGATAGACACCTCATCAGCCTCCACTAACATACTGAAACAGATAGACACCTCATCAGCCCCCACTAACATACTGAAACAGATAGACACCCCATCAGCCCCCACTAACATACTGAAACAGATAGACACCTCATCAGCCTCCACTAACATACTGAAACAGATAGACACCTCATCAGCCTCCACTAACATACTGAAACAGATATACACCCCATCAGCCCCCACTAACATACTGAAACAGATAGACACCTCATCAGCCCCCACTAACATACTGAAACAGATAGACACCTCATCAGCCTCCACTAACATACTGAAACAGATAGACACCTCATCAGCCTCCACTAACATACTGAAACAGATAGACACCCCATCAGCCCCCACTAACATACTGAAACAGATAGACACCCCATCAGCCCCCACTAACATACTGAAACAGATAGACACCCCATCAGCCTCCACTAACATACTGAAACAGATAGACACCTCATCAGCCCCCACTAACATACTGAAACAGATAGACACCTCATCAGTCCCCACTAACATACTGAAACAGATAGACACCCCATCAGACTCACATTCTAAAACAGACCTGGAAATAAGGGTTGAGTTCAAAGAAAAAGGAACACTGCCACAGCTGGTTCTCCAACCAAGGTGCATGAATTGAGTAGCAAACTGAAGTGAGGAGGAAATTCACCAACTATTGGAAGTTGATAAAACTACTTCTTTATTGTAAAAACCAACATGTTTCAGTCGCTACAGGCCATATTTGTCCAGATGGAGCGGCTCACACACACAACCCAACCTTCTATATGTATAGGGTACATGTCCTAGAAACAGACAGTGTGTCTCCCCACTCATTTCACTAGTGTGAACACGTCATCCATCCAAGGTGGAGAAAGTAACACTCACCTCTAAAATAGGGTAGAGTTTATCTTCCTTCACACAGATCCCCAGATACCTAGAATGAATCACAACAACATAATTATAATGGGGAATCATAATGACACTTAGAATATACAATCGATCTGCTTGATCATGGTTGAGTGTTTAATAAGACCACCACCCTTGGCACGTATGCAATCCCCTGCCTGCGTGGGATCAAATCCTGGCCCCACCGGTCTTCACACTATCTGTCTCGCAGTTCGTAATATACACAACTTATACAGTAAGTTACATAAGATGCTCAGGGCTGAAAACATGTTTTGATGACCAGCTGAGCCAGACATTCAACAACAACCTAGGCTCTTGTGGACAGACACAACATCAAGAAACTCGCCGGTGGCCAGTGCTCACCCGAGATTAACAACCTCAAAACTACATCCATTCCAGACACTGGTTTACTGTATACCTTGACTGAAATCCTTACAATGCTCTGACGTTGGAGCCTGATAACATTGCCTTTCTCACAGTGAGTGCGTCCCAAATGGCACCTTGTGGGCCCTGGTTAAAAGTAGTTTACTATATAGGGAATAGGGTGCCACTTGGGATTGAAACACTGTGTCTGAGGAAGGCAATGTTCTCAGGCTCCAACATTAGAAATCATTCTGATTTTCACACCATTGTTTGAGTAGGGCCCACTCACAGAGGGATGGATGCCCTATCTGTTCCAGGTACATATTGTATTGGACTCATATTCACTTTCATCACTGACTCTCTACTCTCTGACCTCAGCAGATAAACTGTGCTGTTTGATAACCACTGATACTGTGGCCTTGAAAGAAAGGCTAAAATAAGATTGCTTGGACAAACACGATGCCTTCACACCTTATGTAACCACTTCATAAGGGTAGAGCTGGCCTACGTGACAAGGTAGTACAATGTCCCTCCCGCTGTGGCCATGACTGCACCTCAAAGACTCAGCAGCATGTGTATATATACCCAGCCTTCACCATGTCTGGAGTCATCTTGAGACATGTCTTGAGACCTCTTAAGACATATAAATGAAGATGTCTGGAGATGTCTTGAGACAAAGGTGAAGACTGGGTAGCTACAGTGGGGGAAAAAAGTATTTAGTCAGCCACCAATTGTGCAAGTTCTCCCACTTACAAAGATGAGAGAGGCCTGTAATTTTCATCATAGGTACACGTCAACTATGACAGACAAAATGAGGGAAAAAAATCCAGAAAATCACATTGTAGGATTTTTTATGAATTTATTTGCAAATTATGGTGGAAAATAAGTATTTGGTCAATAACAAAAGTTTCTCAATACTTTGTTATATACCCTTTGTTGGCAATGACACAGGTCAAACGTTTTCTGTAAGTCTTCACAAGGTTTTCACACACTGTTGCTGGTATTTTGGCCCATTCCTCCATGCAGATCTCCTCTAGAGCAGTGATGTTTTGGGGCTGTCGCTGGGCAACACAGACTTTCAACTCCCTCCAAAGATTTTCTATGGGGTTGAGATCTGGAGACTGGCTAGGCCACTACAGGACCTTGAAATGCTTCTTACGAAGCCACTCCTTCGTTGCCCGGGCGGTGTGTTTGGGATCATTGTCATGCAGAAAGACCCAGCCACATTTCATCTTCAATGCCCTTGCTGATGGAAGGAGGTTTTCACTCAAAATCTCACGATACATGGCCCCATTCATTCTTTCCTTTACACGGATCAGTCGTCCTGGTCCCTTTGCAGAAAAACAGCCCCAAAGCATGATGTTTCCACCCCAATGCTTCACAGTAGGTATGGTGTTCTTTGGATGCAACTCAGCATTCTTTGTCCTCCAAACACGACGAGTTGAGTTTTTACCAAAAAGTTCTATTTTGGTTTCATCTGACCATATGACATTCTCCCAATCCTCTTCTGGATCATCCAAATGCACTCTAGCAAACTTCAGACGGGCCTGGACATGTACTGGCTTAAGCAGGGGGACACGTCTGGCACTGCAGGATTTGAGTCCCTGGCGGCATAGAGTCTTACTGATGGTAGGCTTTGTTACTTTGGTCCCAGCTCTCTGCAGGTCATTCACTAGGTCCCCCCGTGTGGTTCGGGGATTTTTGCTCACCGTTCTTGTGATTATTTTGACCCCACAGGGTGAGATCTTGCGTGGAGCCCCAGATTGAGGGAGATTATCAGTGGTCTTGTATGTCTTCCATTTCCTAATAATTGCTCCCACAGTTGATTTCTTCAAACCAAGCTGCTTACCTATTGCAGATTCAGTCTTCCCAGCCTGGTGCAGGTCTACAATGTTGTTTCTGGTGTCCTTTAACAGCTCTTTGGTCTTGGCCATAGTGCAGTTTGGAGTGTGACTGTTTGAGGTTGTGGACAGGTGTCTTTCATACTGATAACAAGTTCAAACAGGTGCCATTAATACAGGTAACGAGTGGAGGACAGAGGAGCCTCTTAAAGAAGAAGTTACAGGTCTGTGAGAGACAGAAATCTTGCTTGTTTGTAGGTGACCAAATACTTATTTTCCACCATAATTTGCAAATAAATTTATTAAAAATCCTACAATGTGATTTTCTGGAATTTCTTTTCTCAATTCGTCTGTCATAGTTGACGTGTACCTATGATAAAAATTACAGGCCTCTCTCATCTTTTTAAGTGGGAGAACTTGCACAATTGGTGGCTGACTAAATACTTTTTTTCCCCACTGTATATTCAGTATAAGTATGACTGGAAGTACAAAATACAGTATAATACCATATATTTTGGACTGGAATTCAGGAAAGGTATGCCATGATTCTATGGTGCATGTCATAACATCCACTATGCCTTCATGGCTTATGTAACCACTTCAGAGGGGTAGAATAGGCCTTTGTGACTACTAGATCATTATGTTCCTGAGCCATTGACTGCACCACAGAAAGTACACACAGCATCCCAGCATTCCCATTCATAATGTATTACTAATACTAGTACTAATACAGATATTAATCTTACATAAATGCTAACAGTCAAACATTATAAGCTTATCAGGCCTAATCTTATCTAAACAATTTTCATTTCATTTATTACATTTATTTGACAGGTACAATGCATCTATTAATATTTATGTGAATTTGCCAGACTGATGATACTGATTCTTATTAATATGCTAATGTGATAAACCATGTTAATTAATAAGCAATTATGCTAAATTATTACATGGTATCAATAATGTCATATACCAAATATTATAAGTGATCATCACAAAAAGGTGTGAGTAACTGACTAATACCTGACTATGTTGGGATGGGAGAGTTTCTGCAGTAGGCTGATCTCACGCACGATGCTATCCTGGTCCACATCATTCTTATAGATCTTCACCACCATCACCTTATGGCTCGTACTGTGAATCACCTGTGAGAAACAGACAAGTTATTTTACAGTACTGTGAATCACCTGAGAGAAACAGACAATAGTTATTTTACAGTACTGTGAATCACCTGAGAGAAAAAGACAATAGTTATTTTACAGTACTATAAATCACCTGAGAGAAACAGACAATAGTTATTTTACAGTACTGTGAATCACCTGAGAGAAACAGATGAGTTATTTTACAGTACTGTGAATCACCTGAGAGAAACAGACAATAGTTATTTCACAGTACTGTGAATCACCTGAGAGAAACAGACAATAGTTATTTTACAGGACTGTAAATCACCTGAGAGAAACTGACAATAGTTATTTCACAGTACTGTGAATCACCTGAGAGAAACAGACAGTTATTTTACAGTACTGTGAATCACCGGAGAGAAACAGACGAGTGTTTACAGTTTAACCACTAAAAACCTGCTCAAGACCTAGTCATGTAACCTGTACAAAAAAAGCAGGTGAGGTGACTGTCAGAAAGGCGCTATTTTTGCAGGTAAATTAATTAATGACTCCATTATTGAATTGTGATTAAATCATCACATAACATGAAACAGATTGATGGCCAGTAGTATCTCTAGCAGTGTTTGCTCTACTCAGAACATTCACTGTTCAAATCCAGTAGACTAATAGATTAATTCTGCAATCATCCCATCTATCATTCTACCCGTTTCTCATTTCATACAGGACTAAGCCTAAATAAATAAAAAAGTATTTGATCCCCTGCTGGTTTCGCCACCAAGTACTAAGTCATGTTTTGCAGAGGGGTCAAATACTTATTTCCCTCATTAAAAAACACATTGAGCTGTGTCGTTGTCATCGGGTGAGGTTGTGTCTCTCTCTGGCGGGAGGTAAGCTTGGCTTAAATGGCTGATATACATAGTTTAAGCTTTGTCGAGTAAAGCTTAAACTATGTATTTAGATTGTAGTTAGGTATTGTAGGTAGTTATCGTGGGTTGTTGTATGTAATTATTGTAGGTAAGTATTGTATTCGACTGAGCCCCGTGAAGCACGAAGCTAGCTAACCCACTACCTGGACTAGCTAGCGGGTAGCTACTGGTAACTATTAGCAACTGTGGATAGTTGTTTCACGCCTGAGAGTACCTGTAATTACGCCAGCTAAATGTCTACAATAATTACATACAATAATGCCTACCATAAAGCTGTATTTCTAACCTCATTGTCTGAAGCGTTAACGTTAGGTAGTAAGTAGCTACTGTGCTAGAAATGTAGCTTGCTTGTTGCTACCTGGATAGCTACTAAACAATAGCTGGAACGACCTAGCTAACAGACGCGAACTGGCCGAATCGATTCAGTGGCTAGCTTTGCACTTGGCTAGCTAACAGTAGCTGCTAGGGGTAAGTTATAACCTACAGTGAGGGAAAAAAGGTATTTGATCCCCTGCTGATTTTGTATGTTTGCCCACTGACAAAGAAATGATCAGTCTATAATTTTAATGGTAGGTTTATTTGAATAGTGAGAGACAGAATAACAACAAAAAAATCCAGAAAAGCGCATGTCAAAAATGTTATAAATTGATTTGCATTTGAATGAGGGAAATATGTATTTGACCCCCTCTCAATCAGTAAGAATTCTGGCTCCCAGGTGTCTTTTATACAGGTAATGAGCTGAGATTAAGAGCACACTCTTAAAGGAAGTGCTTCTAATCTCAGTTTGTTACCTGTATAAACGACACCTGTCCACAGAAGCAATCAATCAATCAGATTACAAACTCTCCACCATGGCCAAGACCAAAGAGCTCTCCAAGGATGTCAGGGACAAGATTGTAGACCTACACAAGGCTGGAATGGGCTACAAGACCATTGCCAAGCAGCTTGGTGAGAAGGTGACAACAGTTGGTGCGATTATTCGCAAATGGAAGAAACACAAAATAAATGTCAATCTCCCTCGGCCTGGGGCTCCATGCAAGATCTCACCTCGTGGAGTTGCAATGATCATGAGAACGGTGAGGAATCAGCCCAGAACTACATGGGAGGATCTTGTCAATGATCTCAAGGCAGCTGGGACCATAGTCACCAAGAAAACAATTCGTAACACACTACGCCGTGAAGGACTGAAATCCTGCAGCGCCCGCAAGGTCCCCCTGCTCAAGAAAGCACATATACAGGGCCGTCTGAAGTTTTCCAATGAACATCTGAATGATTCAGAGGAGAACTGGGTGAAAGTGTTGTGGTCAGATGAGACCAAAATCGAGTTCTTTGGCATCAAGTCAACTTGCCGTATTTGGAGGAGGAGGAATGCTGCCTTTGACCCCAGGAACACCCTCCCCACCGTCAAACATGGAGGTGGAAACATTATGCTTTGGGGGTGTTTTTCTGCTAAGGGGACAGGACAAATTCACCGCATCAAAGGGACAATGGACGGGGCCATGTACCGTCAAATCTTGGGTGAGAACCTCCTTCCCTCAGCGAGGGCATTGAAAATGGGTCGTGGATGGGTATTCCAGCATGACAATGACCCAAAACACACAGCCAAGGCCACAAAGGAGTGGCTCAAGAAGAAGAACATTAAGGTCCTGGAGTGGCCTAGCCAGTCTCCAGACCTTAATCCCATAGAAAATCTGTGGAGGGAGTTGAAGGTTCGAGTTGCCAAACGTCAGCCTCAAAACCTTAATGACTTGGAGAAGATCTGCAAAGAGGAGTGGGACAAAATCCCTCCTGAGATGTGTGCAAACCTGGTGGCCAACTACAAGAAACGTCTGACCTCTGTGATTACCAACAAGGGTTTTGCCACCAAGTACTAAGTCATGTTTTGCAGAGGGGTCAAATACTTATTTCCCTCATTAAAATGCAAATCAATTTATACCATTTTTGACATGCGTTTTTCTGGATTTTTTTGTTGTTATTCTGTCTCTCACTGTTCAAATACACCTACCATTAAAATTATAGACTGATCATGTCTTTGTCAGTGGGCAAACGTACAAAATCAGCAGGGGATCAAATACTTTTTTCCCTCACTGTACATTTGTGTTTTGTTATTACATACTGGTAGCCGTTCAAGGGAATTCGGGACATGGGTGACTAGTTAACGTTAGCTTGGCTCTCTCTGTGTGTTTGTGCCGTGGGAGGACGGGTTTCTTCGTTGGTAGAAAGCAATGGCTAGATAGTATGCTAACTATTCTAGCTAACTAACTGGCTGAATAAGTTGACGACGGACTCGCTCAAGCTGTCGGGACTAACCCACAAAGTTAGACAAGGACACGAATGATCTGCTTGGCGTGTTGACACACTGGTGGTTTGTTGTGGCCGAGTATTGGTGCTAAACCGTGTTGTTGGAGGCCGGCATGCTAGTTGGCTGTGGCATCATATGACTAGGTGCCCTGGACGGTTTTCACAAAAGAATACTGTACCATGTTAGCTAGCTGAATACACTAAGTTAGTCTATTCCTAGAAAACATTGAACCGCTGTAGTTTTATAGTATCTGAGGTGGAAGTTGGGAGAGTTATATTTGGGTGTTTCAGTGAAACGTAAGTGAGGGAGGCCCCGCTCTCTCGCTTTCCCAGATGTTTAGTTCATTTCATTCCGATCTCCTTTGCATTATTGTAGCCATTTTCTGTAGCCTGTCAACTATGCCTCTGTCTATCCCTGTTCTCTCCTCTCCGCACAGGCTATACAAACGCCTCACACCGCGTGGCTGCTGCCTCTCTAACCTGGTGGTCCCTGCACGCACGACCCACGTGGTGTTCCAGGTCTCCGGTAGCCTCTGGAACTTCCATTCTGCGGCCAACAAGGCAGAGTTCATCTCAGCCTATGCCACCCTCCAGTCCCTCGAATTCTTGGCGCTGACGGAAACATGGATTACCACAGAAAACACTGCTACTCCTACTGCTCTTTCCTCGTCTGATCATGTGTTCTCATATACCCCGAGAGCATCTGGTCAGCGCGGCGGTGGCACAGGAATCATCATCTCTCCCAAGTGGACATTCTCTCTTTTCCCCCTGACCCATCTGTCTATCTCCTCATTTGAATTCCATGCTGTCACAGTCACTAGCCCATTCAAGCTTAACATCCTTGTCATTTATCGCCCTCCAGGTTCCCTTGGAGAGTTCATCAATGAGCTTGACGCCTTGATAAGTTCCTTTCCTGAGGATGGCTCACCCCTCACAGTTCTGGGTGACTTCAACCTCCCTACGTCTACCTTTGACTCATTTCTCTCTGCCTCCTTCTTTCCACTCCTCTCCTCATTTGACCTCACCCTCTCACCGTCCCCCCCTACTCACAAGGCAGGCAACACACTTGACCTCATCTTTACTAGATGCTGTTCTTCTACTAATCTCACTGCAACTCCCCTCCAAGTCTCCGACCACTACTTTGTATCCTTTTCTCTCTCGCTCTCCTCCAACACTACTCACTCTGCCCCTACTCAGATGGTAATGCGCCGTCGCAACCTTCGCTCTCTCTCTCCCGCTACTCTCTCCTCTTCCATCCTATCATCTCTTCCCTCTGCTCAATCCTTGTCCCTCACATCTCCTCCTGATTCTGCCTCCTCAACCCTCCTCTCCTCCCTTTCTGCATCCTTTGACTCTCTATGTCCCCTATCCTCCCGGCCGGCTCGGTCCTCCCCTCCTGCTCCGTGGCTTGACGACTCATTGCGAGCTCACAGAACAGGGCTCCGGGCAGCCGAACGGAAATGGAGGAAAACTAGACTCCCTGCGGACCTGGCATCTTTTAACTCCCTCCTCTCTACATTTTCTTCATCTGTTTCTGCTGCTAAAGCCACTTTCTACCACTCTAAATTCCAAGCCTCTGCCTCTAACCCTAGGAAGCTCTTTGCCACCTTCTCCTCCCTGCTGAATCCCCCCCCCCCCCCCCCCCCCTCCCTCTCTGTGGATGACTTTGTCAACCATTTTGAAAAGAAGGTTGACGACATCCGATCCTCGTTTGTTAAGTCAAAATACACTGCTGGTCCTGCTCACACTGCCCTACCCTATGCTTTGACTTCTTTCTCCCCTCTCTCTAAAGATGAAATCTTGCGACTTGTGACGGCCGGCCGCCCAACAACCTGCCCGCTTGACCCTATCCCCTCCTCTCTTCTCCAGACCATCTCCGGTGACCTTCTCCATCAACTCATCCTTGACCGCTGGCTATGTCCCTTCCGTCTTCAAGAGAGCGAGAGTTGCACCCCTTCTCAAAAAACCAACACTCGATCCCTCTGATGTCAACAACTACAGACCAGTATCCCTTCTTTCTTTTCTCTCCAAAACTCTTGAGTGTGCCGTCTTTAGCCAACTCTCTTGCTATCTCTCTCAGAATGACCTTCTTGATCCAAACCAGTCAGGTTTCAAGACTGGTCATTCAACTGAGACTGCTCTTCTCTGTGTCACGGAGGCTCTCCGCACTGCTAAAGTTAACTCTCTCTCCTCTGCTCTTGTCCTTCTAGACCTGTCTGCTGCCTTTGATACTGTGAACCATCAGATCCTCCTCTCCACCCTCTCCGAGTTGGGCATCTCCGGCGCGGCTCACTCTTGGATTGCGTCCTACCTGACCGGTCGCTCCTACCAAGTGGCGTGGCGAGAATCTGTCTCCGCACCACGTGCTCTCACCACTGGTGTCCCCCAGGGCTCAGTTCTAGGCCCTCTCCTATTCTCGCTATACACCAAGTCACTTGGCTCTGTCATATCCTCACATGGCCTCTCCTATCATTGCTACGCAGACGGCACACAACTAATCTTCTCCTTTCCCCCTTCTGATAACCAGGCGGCGAATCGCATCTCTGCATGTCTGGCAGACATATCAGTGTGGATGACGGATCACCACCTCAAGCTGAACCTCGGCAAGACGGAGCTGCTCTTCCTCCCGGGGAAGGACTGCCCGTTCCATGATCTCATCATCACGGTTGACAACTCCGTTGTGTCCTCCTCCCAGAGTGCGAAGAGCCTTGGCGTGACCCTGGACAAAACCCTGTCGTTGTCCACTAACATCAAGGCGGTGACCGGATCCTGTAGGTTCATGCTCTACAACATTCGGAGAGTACGACCCTGCCTTACACAGGAAGCGGCACAGGTCCTAATCCAGGCACTTGTCATCTCCCGTCTGGATTACTAAAACTCGCTGTTGGCTGGGCTCCCTGCCTGTGCCATTAAACCCCTACAACTCATCAAGAATGCCGCAGCCCGTCTGGTGTTCAACCTTCCCAAGTTCTCTCACGTCACCCCGCTCCTCTGCACACTCCACTGGCTTCCAGTTGAAGCTCGCATCTGCTACAAGACCATGGTGCTTGCCTACGGAGCTGTGAGGGGAACGGCACCTCCGTACCTTCAGGCTCTGATAAGTCCCTACACCCAAACGAGGGCATTGCGTTCATCCACCTCTGGCCTGCTGGCCCCCCTACCTCTGCGGAAGCACATTTCCCGCTCAGCCCAGTCAAAACTGTTCACTGCTCTGGCACCCCAATGGTGGAACAAGCTCCCTCACGACGCCAGGACAGCGGAGTCACTCACCACCTTCCGGAGACACTTGAAACCCCACCTCTTTAAGGAATACCTGGGATAGGATAAAGTAATCCTTTTACCCCCCCTTACCCCACCCCAAAGAAAGAAAAAAAATACATATTGTAAAGTGGTTATCCCACTGGCTATAAGGTGAATGCACCAATTTGTAAGTCGCTCTGGATAAGAGCGTCTGCTAAATGTAAATGTAAATGTAATAACATTTTTGACATGCGTTTTTTCTGGATTTTTTTGTTGTTATTCTGTCTCTCACTGTTCAAATAAACCTACCATTAAAATTATAGACTGATCATGTCTTTGTCAGTGGGCAAACGTACAAAATCATCAGGGGATCAAATACTTTTTTCCCTCACTGTACATGTCACCTTTCTCTCCCTATTCCGCTACTGAAGCACATAGTGCAGATTGTAAACTGAAGCACAGTGGAGTACCATTGTGTACTCCCAGGTTTTTGTTTGCTCAGGCATTCTTTATGGAGTGCAAGCTAATAATGGCATTGCCACCATCGCAAATGGAACCCTATTGTGTATATAGTGCATCATTTTTACAAGGGCCCATAGGGCTATGGTCAAAAAGAGTGCACTCTATAGAGAATAGGGTGCCATTTGGGATGCACACTAGGTTCAATACAGATGGCTAGGGATGGACCAGGTACCTTGTAGACTTTAGAGAAGAAGCCGCTCCCGATGAGCTCGGCGGTGAAGTTCTCCCAGAACTCCAGCTTGCGGACGGCAGTGCGGAGCTTCTGCCAGCGGTCCACATGGCAGTATTTGTCAGAGGACTCACCGTAGAGCCTGGGGCTGGTGGGCTCCGAGGACACGTCCACGTCACAGTCACACATCCTGGAGTGGGGAGTGATGTCTGCTATAAGGTAGACACACACACCAAAACACACATGAACATGTTCGAACGCACGCACACACACACACACACACACACAAACACACACACACACACACACACACACACACACACACACACACACACACACACACACACACACACACACACATATACACAGACACACACACACACACACACACACACACACACACACACACACACACACACACACACACACAGACACAGGTTAGTCACACCCCTCACCTCTGTGACAGATTACATTGAGAGAATGGCTGTCCTTACAAAGAGTATGCAATAACCCAAAATAACCCTAAGTAGAAATCAAGTGCAGTGGATGAAAGAGAGAGCGGACTAGAGCGGACAATAATTAAATCTACACTCATTAGCTCGATGGGATGGAAAGTGCCTCCCCTTTAAGGAGTGAAACAAAGAGACATGAATAATGGTTCCTAGGTGCTCCTCTTCCATTAATTAATTTATAACCAGATAGAGGTGAACAGAGCTTTTTCTCATAAGATTATGTTCCTTAATTGCTTTATGTATAATTATCAGTGTGTGCTTCTATCGTTAAGGAGTCCTTTTAAGGCTTTGAGGCATTCTAAGCCCTTTTCAGACATCAAACACAAATTATTGGAATCGACTGTCACAGGAAAATGTAGCTGAGAAGAACAACTCTAACAGGAAGTGTGTGCAGCAAACAAAACCACACTGTCATTGTTTTCATTGCAGCAGGACAGGCATATATCCTGTGTGGCACAACCACTATATGGTTTAAAACATACAGATCTGTCCTTCACTTAAAACACACATACAGTCCAGTATATTTTACATGTTCACCCATTGAACAATCGCAAGCCTCTACGGCTACGCACGTCACTATATTTTACTTTAAATAAGTTGTTTCAACTTGACTTCCGGTATCGGGACAGCATGGATGAAGGGCAGAGGGAGTTTGTTTTCCAGGACAGCAACAACAAACCCGGTCCTGACAATGACGCCAGTGAACAGCACAGATTGACACGCTGACACAATTGGCAGGGCTTTGTCAATCAAGTGGGAATCAACCCCACCATGGTATTCAACATGACAGAGAGGCTAGCTCTCACACACGCTGCCATTGTCTTAACAGCCACAGCCGTGTACAAACAATCACAGCATTTTCATTTCAACTGTGGAACCCCACCCACCACCACCACCACCACCACCACCACGACACCAACCCGGCTGGCTGTCAGAGAAAACGCTCACAGTGCAGCCTTATCATGTCTCTCACTGATGAGGACCCACAGTATATCATAGAGACACACTGTCTGTCACACAGAGCTATCCTGTAGCCTTCTACAACCCACCTCAATCAAAATGTTACTTTCACAGAAATTACAACACAAAGCATCCTATATGGCATCCTGTATGGTAGAAAGTCACACTCACATTTCATTCCAGAGCCACACTGTCACACAGTCACCAGAGCTATAGCCTGCTGCAACCCTCCTCAATAAAACAGTCATTTCCACAGAGGTCACAACACTGGACATCCTATATAAGTAAGTAGGTAAGCCTTGTCCAAGCCAGAACAGCCCAGAGAACAGACATCCTATATGGCACACAGAAAAGATGGATGTGGATTAAAGTCTGGTGTGTTTGAATACATGATGGTAGATAAATCAGGTAATTGTGACAGCTTCCCTTAGCATCAATCTGCTTACACTTCACTTGAATTGAGAGTGAATCTCATTGTACAAACAACAAATTTGTCTCTAAATTGAATTTCATAGTGTTTGGATTCAATTTGTGTCTACAAATCAGATTTTTCAGCCGGTCTATTTCAGCTTTGTCTTACAAAGGTGCTTTGTTACTGAGCTGCAAAAAAATTAAGAAATGTTAGATATACATCCTAAATGACACCCTATTCCCTATATAGTGCACTACTTTTGACAAGGACCCATAAGTAGTGCACTAGGGAATAGGGTGCCATTTGGGATGCAGATTAGTAAAGTGATTTCCTGTGGAAAAGCCTGTTATCACACTAACAGTGAGTTTGACCTGTGTCTGACCACAGAGACCTTCAGGAGAAACACTACCAGTGGGACCGCCCTACTGACGTCCCACCTACAGATAAGGAATGTGAGTTATGAGACTTTAACAGTGAGATCGGTTGGTTCACACCAGGGTGAGACTATTCCTCAGGGGAATGACTCTCTTTCTGAGGAAGTCCAACATATCTGACCGCTTTCTCAGTTCAGGGCAGATAGAGGGGAGGTGTGTTTGTAGTGAAAATGATGTGTGATAAATGTGGGCCAGAGAGAGAGAGAGAGTCAGAGGCATCTGAACCAAATACTTCTGTACTTCAGCAAGGCCATTTCCCGACTGAGGTGGAATCACGTCAACAGATGACGTCACAAAGGATGACACAGCCTTCACACAGACACGCAAGCGACAAAAGTTTTACTACAATCTCTCCATATCCCATTCTGCTGTCTCCACATGCTTCAAGATGGCCACCATTGTTCCTGTAACCAAGAAAGCAAAGGTAACTGAACTAAACGACTATCGCCACGTAGCACTCACCTCTGTCATCATGAAGTGCTTTGAGAGACTAGTCAAGGATCATATCACCTCTACCTTACCTGCCACTCTAGACCCACTTCAATTTGCCTACCACCCAACTAGATCCACAGACGATGGAATCGCCATCACTCTGCCCTATCCCATTTGGACAAGAAGAATAACTATGTAAGAATGCTGTTCATTGACTATAGCTCAGCATTCAACACCATAGTACCCTCCAAGCTCATCATTAAGCTCGAGGCCCTGGGTCTGAACCCCGCCCTGTGCAACTGGGTCCTGGACTTCCTGACGGGCCGCCCCCAGGTGGTGAAGGTAGGAAACAACACCTCCACTTCGCTGATCCTAAACTCTGGGGCCCCACAAGGGTGCGTGCTCAGCCCACTCCTGTACTCCCTGTTCACCCATGACTGCGTGGCCAAGCACGCCTCCAACTCAATCATCAAGTTTGCAGACGACACAACAGTAGTAGGCTTGATTACCAACAATGACGAGCCAGCCTACAGGGAGGAGGTGAGGGCTCTGGGAGTGTGATGCTAGGAAAATAACCTCTCACTCAACGGTAACAAAACAAAGGGCATGATCGTGGGCTTCAGGAAACAGCAGAGGGGACCACAGTGGAGAAGGTGGAACGCTTCAAGTTCCTTGGCATACACATCACTGACAAATTGAAATGGACCACCCACAGTGTGTGGTGAAGAAGGCGCAACAGAGCCTGTTCAACCTCAGGAGGCTAAAGAAATGTTGCTTGGCACCTACAACCCTTACCAACTTTTACAGATGCACAATTGAGAGCATCCTGTCGGGCTGTATCACCGCCTGGTACGGCATCTGCACCGCCCGCAACCGCAAGGCTCTCCAGAAGGTGGTGCGGTCTGCCCAACGCATTACCGGGGGCAAACTACCCGCCCTCCAGGACACCTACAGCACCTGATGTCACAGGAAGGCCAAAAAGATCATCAAGGACATCAACCACCCAGCCACTGCCTGTTCATACCGCTATCATCCAGAAGGCAAGGTCAGTACAGGTGCATCAAAGCTGGGACTGAGAGACTGAAAAACTGCTTCTATCTCAAGGCCATCAGACTGTTAAACAGCCATCACTATCACATTAGAGGCTGCTGCCTATAGACATAGACTGGAATTCACTGGCCACTTTAAGAAATGGAACACTAGCCACTTTCATTATGTTTACATATCTTGCATTACTCATCGCATATGTATATACTGTATTCTACACTATTCTACGGTATCTTAGTCACTTTAATAATGTTTACATATCTTGCATTACTCATCTCATATGTATATACTGTTTTCTATAATATTCCACTGTATCTTAGTTCATGTCGCTCTGACATCGCTCGTCCATATATGTACACTATCGGTCAAAACACCTACTCATTCAAGGGTTTTTCTTTATTTTTACTATTTTCTACATTGTAGAATAATAGTGAAGACATCAAAACTATGAAATAACACATATGGAATTAACATTTATTTTATATTTGAGATTCTTCAAATAGCCACCCTTTGCCATGATGACAGCTTTGCACACTATTGGCATTCTCTCAACCAGCTTCACCTGGAATGCTTTTCCAACAGTCTTGAAGGAGTTCCCACATATGCTGAGCATTTGTTGGCTGCTTTTCCTTCACTCTGCGGTCCGACTCATTCCAAACCATCTCAATTTGTTTGAGGTCGGGGGATTGTTGAAGCCAGGTCATCTGACACAGCACTCCATCACTCTCCTTCTTGGTAAAATAGCCCTTACACAGCCTGGATGTGTGTTGGGTCATTGTCCTGTTGAAAAACAAATGATAGTCCCACTAAGCCCAAACCAGATGGGATGGCGTATCGCTGCAGAATGCTATGGTAGCCATGCTGATTAAGTGTGCCTTGAATTCTAAATAAATCATAGACAGTGTCACCAGCAAAGCAGCCCCACACCAAAACACCTCCTCCTCCATGCTTTACGGTGGGAAATACACATGCAGAGATCATTCGTTCACCCACACCGCATCTCACAAAGACACGGGGGTTGGAACCAAAAATCTCAAATTTGGACTCCAGACTAAAGGACACATTTCCACCAGTCTAATGTCCATTGCTTGCGTTTCTTGGCCCAAGCAAATCTCTTCTTATTATTGGTGTTCTTTAGTGGTCTGATTCACACAGTCTCCTCTGAACAGTTGATGTTGAGATGTATCTGTTACTTGAACTCTGTGAAATATTTATTTGGGCTGCAATTTCTAAGGCTGGTAACTCTAATGAACTTATCCTCTGCAGCAGAGGTATCTCTGGGTCTTCCATTCCTGTTGTGGTCCTCTTGAGAGCCAATTTCATCATAGTGCTTGATGGTTTTTGCGACTGCACTTGAAGAAACGTTCAAAGTTATTGAAATGTTCCGTATTGACTGACCTTCATGTCCTTCGAGTGCATGTGTGGCACTATTTACATGTGTGTATGTGTGTGTGTGTGTCTGTGTGTGTGCACATGTGTGCATTTGAATGCGAGTCTATATGCATGTGTAAGCGCGTACAGTGATCATGAACTTTGTGTAACAGCAACTTCCCATCCACACTTACAGACTTCAGTCAATACTCTAGTCAGACTCAAAATGTGTCAATTGTCTCCAGTACTCCGTCTGATGATCTCAGACACAGACCATTATGGTGCAAATTGGAAGCTGAGTCATTAATCCTACAAAATGATTTACTCCGGACATATGGCTCCAGCCGAGTGCATTAAAGTGAACACAACACTTTGTATGTGTCTCAAATGGCACCATATGCACTACTTTTGACCAGGGCCTATATGGGCTCTGATAGGGAATGGAGTGCCATTTAGGATGCAATCTAAACACTTAGGGTGGATGCACTGAGGACACTGAAGTGTTAACTGCCTCGTGGATCTTCAGATATCCATCCAGGGGAGACAGACAGTGACTACAACGCCACAGGATCCCTGATGCTGCCTGCTTACGTCTGCAGTTATGTGACCAACACAGGAAGAGCATGGAGAGATCATGTTGTGTGGCTCTACAGATGATCAATAAGTCTGAAACATACAGCACCCGGCCAGACAACACATATCTGTGGTGCTGACTGTGCTGAGTCTCAACTATAGGTCACCTCACACAGGTGGAATATGCTGAAGCCACTGTAATTTTATATTTAAAATGTATGTATGTGCCATTTTTGGCAGTCTGTCTGAGATTGTATGGCTGTACATTTGGGTTCTTGCTCAGCCTGTAGTTAGTGGCCTGAGAGTCCAAATCAAGGCATAACTCAATTATGCATGAACATCTTTAAGTGTTTTCTAGAGAAAGAGATAGAGAGAGAAATAGAGCGTGAGAGAGAAAGAAAGAAAGACAAAGGGAGAGACTTTCAAATAACTGAGTTTCTGCCAGGAATAAGGGAGTTAATTGAATAATAACATTAAAAGGTTCAAAATAGATGGCATAGCAAAGAGCTAAAATATGCAGTAGTTAGCATCAGTGTTACAGTCAGGGAGAAACTTGGAAAAATGTCTAATTTTGCAGCATGACTGTGAGAGCTTGTTGGTTACAGTTCCGCTGTATCTTACACATATTGTGTTATTCAGAAAAATCCATCATCTTTTGTTGTTACATCATTGTGCAGTCATGTGGGTGGGACCTCTATA